TTCGGGTTGACTCGGCCAGGGATTTGGACCGTGGCCGTACGTGGGATCCTGGGCTCCGTGGGCTCCGGCTTCTCCTGAGCATGCATTTCCGCTGCACCAGCAGCCCCCCCGCTTACGTAGTGGGGACTTGTGCCCACACGAGCCCGCTGTATTTCGGGTTGACTCGGCCAGGGATTTGGACCGTGGCCGTACGTGGGATCCTGGGCTCCGTGGGCTCCGGCTTCTCCTGAGCATGCATTTCCGCTGCACCAGCAGGCCCCCCCCCGCTTACGTAATAGGAACTTGTGCCACATAGTAACCCATGCCGTGTGTCCCCACGTGGTGTAACTCGGAGAGAAGTTCCTGCTGCCGGTATATGAAGAGGGCCCTTTCTCTCTGCAGCCGTGCACTCTGGACCATGACGTGTGGAAGCGTGTGTTTTGAGCCTTTTGCTGTGACCCGCAGACCCTCGTAACAAGCACAGGGGCCGTAGTCCTGGGACTGGGTACTGACTGAAGTTGCTTGGTCAGCCAGGCTTGTTAAATTCAGGACGTGAAGTAAGAAACCCCCTCCTTGGAGATTTTAAGCCCTCCGCATCCCTGCGAAGCATGGCTCTGTTTAAGTTGTCTTGGAGGCAGGGGATTGGCCAGAAAACCCTAAAAGCCCCTCTGGATGGATTAAAAGCAGCGACATTAGACAGGCAAGACGTGCCCTGCGTGCGCTCTCAGTGAGACTCACCTCGAAGCCTCACTCCTCACGCAAAAGCTGCCAGTGGTGGGCTGGAGGGAAGGTCACCAGGGGCTGGCTCTGCGTGCAGGACAGCCCGGGAGCTCTGGCCTCCACCCTTGGGGGCCCTGCCTTGTACCAGGGCCTGTCTAAGCACAGTGGAGAAGAACAGAGCTCCCCATTCAACCTGGTCGGGAGAACTCCTCTGGGCATGAAAAGGACTTGGAGAGACCTGGAACGGGCCCTGCTCCTCCTCTGAGGGCTTCCCGCTGTCCTCCGACTCCTTGGTACTTACCAGCGAGCCCTGGCAAATTCTTATGGCACAAATGACTAAATGACCTCCTCTGGTCCCCAATAAAAACATAACCTAGGGAGCTTCCATGGGGCTATCCTACTGAACCACGGGGTTTATAATCATCAAGTAACCTTATATAGTCATTCTTGGTGTTGGGGGCAGAGAGGCTGGTTCCAAGACCCCCGAGGATACAAAAATCCCAGGATACTCAAGTCCCTTACACAAAACAGTATCATGTTTGCATATAACCTACATACATCTTTTTTATTTTTATTTTTTTTTCGGAGAAGTTTTTGCTATAGGGCACGTGCGCTCGCCAGAAAGACAGAGAGAGACAGAGAGACAAAGCGAGAAATCAGCCCCCAGAGGGGATGGCCACGCCTCAATCTCTTCTCCTCCATTCTCCTCTCGGGATCTTGGGCACACACGCACACGTGCCCAGCATGAGTTTAAGCCACCGGGTCTGGGACTCAAACCGCGGTCGACTACATGGGAGTCCAGAGACATAGCCATTACGCTAACTGCTGGTCCTGACATCTTTCCACACATGCTACGTGACCTCTGGTTACTTACAATGCCTAACGCGATGCACGAGCTACCTGGACATCTGCCGTGCTGTATTGTTAGGGCATAGAGGTGAGGACATGGCCAGACTGAGTATTTTCAGTCCGAGGTTGGTTGACCTCTAGGATACAGCATCCGAGGATGCAGAACCCACAGATGTGGGGGCGGGCCATATTGATTCCCATGTCCTTAACACATGTAGAAGGTTCTTCCTTGGCAACTCACCATTTTTAATTTTATTTTTGCTGTATGCTCACCAGAGAGAGAGACAGAGAAGGAGAGGAAGGAAGTGCCCACGATCAGGTCTAATCAGGCCGCAGCCCTTGGTCCTCCACGTCTTCATTCTGTTGGGGTTTAGGGCACACATGCCTGCCATGCTTTTCAAGCTGCAAGGGCCAGGATTCAAACCTTCTGGTTGGCCATGTGGGATATGGGCCCCTTAATCTCTAGGCCCTTCGTTCGGTTGATTGCATCCTTCGATGTGCGTAAGTTTTCAAGTTTCATGAAGCCTCATTGTCTACTTTTTCTTTTGTTGCCTGTGCTTTCGGTGTTACAGCCAAGAAAACCTGGCTGAATCCGGGGTTATGAACCTTTTCCCTTGTGTTTCCTTCTGAGAGTCATCTGGTTTTAGGTCTTACATTTGGACCTTTGACCCATGTTGAGTTAATTTTGCATACGGTGTAAAGTAAAAGTCCAGCTTCATTCTTTTGCACACGGACATCCAGTTTTCTCAGCACCATTTGTTGAAAAGACTGCCTTTTCCCCCATCGAATGGTCATGGCACCCTAATGGCTCCCAGTTGACCACATACTTGAGGGTCACCTTTGGGCTCTCTGTACACTGCTTTGATGCCTGTAGCTTTGTAATACGTTTTGTCTTTTATGCTAGAGAGAGAGTGTGTGTGTATGCATTTGCACAGGCGCATGTGCACGTAAGAGAGAGAGAAAGAGAGGGGAGAGAGAGAAGAGAGAGAAAGGACTGTCACCAACAGGGCCTGGCCACGCTGTAATCCTTTCTTCAGTTCTCCCTCCCATCAGGATCCTGGTATATAAGCCACCGGGGCCAGGGCTTGAACCCTGGTCAGCCATGTGGGAGCCAGCTTCCTCTGACAGTGCTTAACTGCACTGTGGGACCAGCCCTGTGAGGATGTGTGAGGGCGGGGGTCTTGCTGTCCTTCTTCCCACCATGGTTGGCTCTCCGTGAGCAACGTGAACGACAGGATCTCTGGGTGTTTCCTGGGCATCTTAGACTCTATGGCATCAATTGTGAAGACTGTAGGCCGTCAGGTTTTAATTTCTACAGAGAAATCTGAGACCCTCTGTCAGGGCCGTAAAAGACAAGATACAAAGAGGGCCCTGGGGAGACAAATTACTTCATTCCCCAAAAAACCCTCACTCCTGGTATGCGCTGTGCCTCGTTCTAGGCGGCCCACCGTCTAGCGTCGAAAGGACGAGCCAAGTGTCTGCTCGTGGTGCTTTCAGACTAGAGGGATGGAAGCCACATCAGGAATAGGGAGAGAGGAAAAGAAGGCCGTCTGGGTGCATTAGCTGTAACAACCAAACCCTACGTCACTCCGAGTTCTTGCATTGTCTGCCTGTGCCGCCTTCTTAAAGGACGAAGGAAATGGAAAGGAAATTCTTTTTTTAAATTTTATTTATTTATTTTCATTATTATGTTTTGAATTTGATCAGAGAGAAAGGGAAAGTGAGAAAGCAAGCCTCCAGGTCTGGGACTTGAACTGTGTTCAGGTCCCACCTTTCCCCTCAGGGCTTTGTAAACACCCTTCTGTGGACTTTGCTCCCTGTAGCATCTGCCCCTGTAATGTATCTACTTTGTAGGATTTCATTTTTTCTTTTTCTGTTTTTTTCTTTTGGAGAGGTTTTTGCTTTAGGGTGCGTGCACTCGCCAGAACTCCCATGTAGTCGACCACGGTTTGAGTCCCGTACCTGGTGGCTTAAACTCACGCCGGGCGCTTGTGCGTGCGTGCCCAAGATCCCTAGAGGAGAATGGAGGAGAAGGGATTGCGGCGTGGCCATCTCCTGGGAGGTGATTTCTCGCTTTCTGTCTCTCTGTCTCTGTCTTTCTGGTGAGTGCACGCGCCCTATAGAAAAAACCTCTCCAAAAAAAAAAAAAAGAAAGACAGACAGAGGGGGATGGCCACTGGGTCTGGGACTTGAACTGTGGTCGGCTACATGGGAATCCAGCGATGTAGCCATTACGCCAACTGCTGGTCCGATTTCATTTTTTCTTATGCAACATGCATAAGTGTATGTTATAGGTGCACATACATTAAAACGAGTAATCAAGCCAATACCCAATACCTTAGGGTGTTCACCTGGTGGCTCTGTGGGACCTGATTTCTTTTTTTGTTTGTTTGCTATAGGGCTCTGTGTACTCACCGAAGACAGGAGGGCCATGCTGCCATCCCTTCTCTTCCGTTTCTCCCCCAGGATTTTGGGCATGCACACATATGTGCCCAGTGTGTTTTTCAAGCCACTGGGTTTAGGACTCGAACCACACAGTCAGCCATGTGAGACCCAGCCACCTTAACAACCATGCCATTTGACTGGCCTGAAAGACCTGATTTCAACGCATCTTTAAAAAGAGGTGTGTAGTAGAACATTCACTTTCAGGAAAAAATAAATAAATAAAAAGAGAAGCCACCAGGTGGCACTGTGGTTAAAATGCTGGACTCCCACACAGCAGACACAATTCGAGGTCCAGACCCGGCGGCTTGAAACTCACACTAGACAGGAGTGCGTGCGTGCCCAAGATCCCAGGAGAATGGAGAAGGGATTGCGGTGTGACCATCCCCCAGGGGGTGATTTCTCACTCTCTCTGTCTTCCTGTCTCTTCAGCAGCCCATGCACACGTGCCCCATAGCAAAAATGTAACTTTAAAAAAATAAATAAATAAAAACGGATATGCCTGCCCCTCAGGAACTCCATGCTCTTCTCTCCCCCTTCCCTCTCTTCCTGGAAAGGTCCCATGGGAAGCTTAGAACCGGCTAGGATCATCCAAGATGTTAGAGGCCAAACGCATGCCTGCAAGCACAGGCACGGCAGACACACTGGTGCCCCACACACCCTGGGAGCACTCGGGAGTTGCAAACAATCCGTTTACTCAAGACAGATGAGTGAATGAATGAGAGATAGAAATGGTGTCTAGACCTCACGTATAAACTGTCTCTTTAAAAAAGTTTATTGTAGCTTCTCAGAGCAGAACTGAGTTTGCAATGGCAGGACCATCTTGGTATCGCCATAGGGGGACCCTGGGACCTGGGGCACAGGAGAAGAAAGCAAGCCACTGCTGGGAGGGTTGGCCACCTCGGGGAGCCGGAATATCCCCCAAGAGCTCTTGTCGGGCCACACTGCAGGGGACTAGCAATATCTCTGGCCAGGAGGATGGCAGGGGAGAGGCCACCTGGGGAGCGGGCTCAGGGCACCATGTTCCACCACTTGAAGGAGAAGAGGGGGCGGTGGAGGCCCAGGGGCTCCAGCAGGGAGCGCACCTGCTCCTCCAGGCAGCAGCGGCCGTTGATGATGGGCCCGAAGGGCTTGGGGATGCCCAGGTGCGTGCCCAGCACCAGCATGTTCACCTGCGGAAGAGCAAGGTCCCAGGTCCCAGGCAGCCACGTGCAGCCTGGATCACCACCCGAGTGTCCTTCTCTGACCTTCAGAAACAAGAACCCCACTTTATAGATGAGGAAACTGAGACCCAGGCGGCTTGAAACTCACACTAGACACTCTTCACTCTAAACAAAATCTTTTGTAGTACCTGAATGCTCCGAACCACTGGATTTGAGGCACTGCCTTGGAACCTCAGGGCCCTGGGGAACCCAGTTTGAAAACCACCATGCTAGGAACTGCTGGCTTCCCCCTGAACTGTCACCCCAGCCCCAATAGGAGGGTGGCTGAGGGACTCCAAAAGAATTGGGTGAAGTTTCTGTCTGGGTTTTTTTTTTTTTTTTGAGAGAGAGTTTCGCTACAGGGTACGTGCGCTGGCCAGACAGACAGAGAGAGACAGAGAGACAGAAAGCAAGAAATCACCTCCCAGGGCGGACGGCCATGCCGCAATCCCTTCTCCACCATTCTCCTCTCGGGATCTTGGGCACGCACGCACACGCGCCCGGCGCGAGTTTAAGCCACCGGGTCCAGGACGCGAACCGCGGTCGACTACGTGGGAGTCCAGCGCCATAGCCATTACGCTAATTGCTGGTTCCCTGTCTGGGTATTTTTTGAAGAGTGGAAGTGACAGGGCAGATGGAGGTGAAATACAGTAGAGGACATGGAGGCGGTACTTGGGGTCACCATTTAAAGTTCTCAACAAAGGCAGGCTCACTCTTGCGTCCACCCTTCCATAGGGCAAATCCCACTCAGCCCAGGCAGTGCCAGCCTCACCTCCTCAGAGAGGCCCTCCTAGACCCCCTAGTCAAAGGTGCCGGCCCATGCAAATGGCCTCTGGTGCTTACCGCACCCTGGGGCATCCTGTCCTGTCTGGGGATGGCCTCTGCCCCCCACCTCATCCCCGACCCCGATGGGGAAGTGACAGGCAGCAGAGGAAGGCTCCTGCCCGACCTCTGACTGCAGGGAAGGTGGCTGGGTAGGGGTCCAGCTCCTGGCTCTGAAGCCGAGCTCTACATCCCATCTCCCGACAGCTGTGGGTTCTCGAGCCAGTGGCCTCACTTCTCTGCCTTCTCTAAGCAGAGTAAGGGTGGATGAGACTCCCAGCACGGCTGTGAGTACCAGAAGGTGCCCTATAAGCTGCACAGGGCCAGGCGCATCCCGCGGTGAGGAGAAGCAGGCCTCCTGCACCGGCCCCAGAGCCCGGCTGGCCTCTCAGCTGCCCCCCTGCTGCACGGGGTGTTGACAGCCATTGACAGAACGAGCCCCGTCACTGCGCACCATGTTTGGGAAAAAGGCTTCGGCTTTGAGGGCTGAACTCCCCATGAGCTTGAAGAGCTGGGGGACGTCGATGATGTCGCGGTCATCCAGGCCCAGCTCCCGCTTCAGCACCTCGCGGTTCCAGTCGATGCAGCTCTAGGGAGAGAGGAGCAGCGGGGAGGGACTGCTGGGCTTCCGTCCCAGGGAAGGGCCAGGGTCAGGTCAGGAAAGCCATGACGGGGCTGCCAGGCTCCTTGGCACATGGGGGCTATTAGCCAGTGCTTGGGGGACCTTCTCCCCTCTGCCCCCCGGTTCTGCTCTGCGCCTAGCCAAATGCAGCTCGAGGACGGCTCCTGCCTTGTCCCTTGGCCGCAGGGCAGGGTGACTGGGGCATCTCCTGAGTACTCAGGCTAGTACCTCCACGTAGGAATTATGCTCTCTCAACTTCTTGTTTGACAGGATGTCCTTGATTTTCTGTTGTTTTTTACCTGTCATAGAGAAAACAGAACAAAACAAAAGCCAATGAATTCAGAGACCAATTTCCCTCTTCCCGGCAGGTACAGTGGGCCTCAGTGTGGCAATGGGACCAGCGGGTGGCATGGTGGTTAAGGCACTGGATCCCACATGGCCAACTCCACCGTTCAAGTCCTAGACCCAGCAGCTTGAAAAACATGCCAGGTGTGAGTGCACGCATGCCCCAAATCCCAAAAGAAGACTGGAGAAGGGATTGTGGTACGCATCTCAGGGGGTGATTTCTCACCTTCCCCACCCCTCCCAGGCAAGCACATGTACCCTATAGAAAAAAATAAAAAAAAAATTAAAATAAAGTGGGGGGCAACAGGTGGCATAATGGTTAAGGTGCTGGATTCCCACATGCTCAACTGCAATTCAAGTCCTGGACCTGGCAGCTTGAAACATGCTGAGCACATGTGCGTGCATGCCCAAAATCTCAATAGGAGAATGGAGGAGAAGGGATTGTAGCATGGCCATCCCCCAGGGGATGATTTCTCGCTTTCTCTCTGTCTCTCTGGTGAGTGCACAAGCCCTATAGCAAAAACCTCTCTCTCTCAAAAAAAAAAAAGTTCTTCCCACTCACTTAGATTCTCTCATCTCCAAATCTCCAAAGAGATCCTGTTCAGAGAGGAAGAAATGGGTCTGCTCATTGCCCGATACTGTACAACACGCCATAAATACTAGGGGAGAACTCCCAGCCATGGAGGCTTCCCACCTCTGACCCCAGCCCACGTCTGTGGACTTTCCTGAAGAGATACTTTATCTGCTCCAGCCAGACACGCCCTTCCTCAGGCTGCAGACACTCCTGCTTTCTCCTTTGTGCTCACTGCTCCCTCTGTCTTCAGTCTCCCTTTCTCTCACCTCACCTCTCCATCTGCCTAGCCAATTCCTGCTTGTCCTTCATGTGCCTGCTTGGCCTTTGCCTCCTCCAAGAAGCCTTCCCTGAGCTCCACCCAGATGCCCCAAAGGCCCCATGTAGTAGTTATGGTGTGGACGTGCTGGAGGCTCTTGTGTGGCCGGTGTTGGGCCGACCCGGTGCCTGGCACATGGTGGGTGCTCAGGAGGTGTCTGTAGCCTGCATGGCTCCATCTGGAGAGAGGAGACCATGGGAAGGCAGAGGAAGGTGCACGGATGGCACAGCATGGCCAACTTACTCACGACGCCTTCGAACAGCACGGCCTCCCCGTGGCCCTCGGCCTGCAGCTCCTCGAACAGTCTGTAACAGGACCCGGGGCTGGCCAGGAGCAGCCGGAAGCCCTTGAGGGAGAAACACTGGGATCAGGGGGCTTCTTTGCCTCTGGGCATCCCAAGGGGGTGAGCTCTCCCAAGGGTGAGAGGTGTGGGTTTGGACCCTGGCTGCCTTCCCTCCACCCTCCCTCTGGGGGTGGGGAGAACAGTAGTCACACGTGAAAGATGGGACTCCGGGCAGAGGACAGAGCCGGCCTCGGGGACCCAGCACCGCTTTCTCTGGGCAGACCCCTGTGTACCTTCCTGTCGGGGGCCGGGACGAAGCTGAGGAACTCATCCACGTGACCCACGTACAGCCAGTCGGAGTAGAGCTTCACGGGGGCCTGCACCTGCTGGGCGCCGAGGAAGTCCTGCAGGGCCTGGTGCATCTCCCGGCTGTCCTTGCTGCCAGAGAGGCAACAAAAAGGTGTGGTTGGGGAGGGCGACAGGGTGGGCGAGGGAGGGGAGGCTTGGCAAAGGGTCGGGATGCTTCGTCAGCTAAGGAAGGGATTCAGGAGCCTGGGGCGCCTTTATTATATTCCCTGATACTCGAGGGGCGTGGGGATTATCACTCCAGCTTTATCATGGGGAAACTGAGGCACTAAGTCCCTAAGGCACACAGGACCAGAGCGTAGCCTCAGAGAGCACTGCCTGCAGGGCCAGCCTAGATGCTGGTGCGAGGGGTGGACACCATCGGCCTGAGCTGGCAAGCCCAGCGGCTGCGTGGCCTCAGGACGCTTCTTCACCTCTCTGAGCCTCCCATTTTCCTCTACGAGGCCCTTCATCATCCAGCCCCTCGATCTTCTCACCCGAGCTGCCCTAGTCACCCCGGTATTCTTCGACACCTCAAGCTCGTGCCTCAGAGACTTTGCACGGCCTGTTTCATCAACCGATTCTCCACACAGACTTGACTTTTTTTTTTTTTTTTTTTAGAGGGTTTTTCTTTAGGGGGCGGGCGGCC